CCGAGGACTCTGATGCTATAGATGGATCATTGCCACTAGCTTTAAGAGCAGAAATTATCACAGTGTGGTACACAAATGCTTGTAGTATCAGTGGAAAGTGGGGAGAATTAGGAGCACGCACCCGGGGATCACACATAGTCAGTATTACTGAATCATGGCTGAAACAGGAGCAACCTTTGCTCATTTAAGCGGGTATACAAGCTATAGGCAGGACAGAACTGACNTGGATCATTGCCACTAGCTTTAAGAGCAGAAATTATCACAGTGTGGTACACAAATGCTTGTAGTATCAGTGGAAAGTGGGGAGAATTAGGAGCCCGCTTTCGGGGATCAGACAGAGTCAGTATCACTTAATCATGGCTGAAAAAGGAGCAACCTGTTGCCCGTTTAAACGGATATAAAAGCTATAGGTAGGACAACACTGACGGCAGATATGGGGGCGGAGTATTACTACTCGTCAAGACTGCCCTTAACCAAAGGGAAATGCAGCTGGAGTTAGCTGCTCCAAATATCCAAGCCACAGGATACTGTATTCAACTGGGGGCGGAAGCAAGTGGGCGTAGCATGCATATATAGAGCCCCTAATACGACGCCAGAGGAAGATACAGAGCTGCTTATGATCCTACAACAAACACCAGCGCTTTGTTATCACTGGAGACTTCAATTTTTCGGAGGTAGCATGGTCAACGAGGTATGCATCTAAGGGATCCCCAGGGGCTGCGTTCTTACATTTGCTACAAGAAACAGCACGGACACAGCATAGGACAGGAGCAACAAGATATCGAGAACAACAGAGACCCTCGTTACTATATCTAGTTGTCACAAGGTACTGTTCGGACATAACTAGTCTAAGCACGGGAGAACAGTTAGGCAAGTGGCCACAGTTATTCGCTTTAGACTAATGGTTAGCTATCGTAGGCACGGACCCACTATCACGAGTCTCTATGGTCGTATAAACGTCACAGAATTGGTACAAACTGCAAATACCATCAGCGGGAACCAGACGTCCCCGGAGTGTACCGTACAAGATAGATGAAACGTAGTTAAAGGAGGGCTAACTAGCCTCATGGAAAGATTCGCGCCACTGAGGGAAGGACAAACCAGACATAGAACAATGTAGTGGAAACCCGGGATCGAGGGGGCGCTGAAAATTCGCCAAAAATACTGGGGTCGCTTTAAGCTTTACGGTACTCAGCAAGCGTGTAGAGACTACAAGCAAGCGCGCAACAGATGTCAAGATCTCCAAAGGCGTGCCTAATATGACTTCGAGACTAGCTTAGCGCTAGGAGTCAAGAAGAACCCGAAAAGCGTCTACGCGGACGTGCAAGCCAACGCATACGGGAGAGTGTAGGAGCACTAGCTTCGCTCGATGGAAGCATAGCTACGTGTAACCGCGATAAAGCGGAAACACTACTTAAGTTCTTCAAAATCGTTTTATAGGACTCCAGTCAGCTTGGATATCCCGGGTTTAGTGAGATCACCTACGTCAGAGTTTTCCAAAATTACCATTTGTGAAACAGATGTACATCGAGAACTCCTGATGCTGAACAAGTACAAATTAGCAGGTCCGGTTGGATTCCATCCAACCATAGTGCAGCCGCTGACCGAGTGCTATCCGGGCGGCTGACTGTACTTTTTAGGGAATCAGTGCAAACTGCTATGCTACCCCAGGACTGACGTACAGTTACTGTAGTAGCAACGCACAAGACTGGGCCGAAACACAAAGTAGAAAACTATAGACCCGTTAGCCTAACATCAGTGCTGTGTAAATGCCTGGAGCGACTGATCAGAAGGCAGATTTACCTACATCTGACTAGCAATCGACTCCCGATACCAGCACAGCGTGGTTTTGTGCAACGGAGATCATCTCTAACGAATCTGCGCGTGTTCCTAGATGAAGTCACTCAACGTATGGATGAGGAGAAAAATGTAGAAGTCTGCTACTTAGACTTCTGTAAAGCATTTGACTCTGTCAGCCATAGATTGTTGGACTTCAAAGTTCGGAGACTATGCGTAACACGTAGAGCCAGGGACTATATTGTAGCCTTTTTGAGTAATCGCACCTTCCGGGTCAAGGTGGGTGACTATATTTCTAACCATGAGATGGTTTCAAGTGGAGTTCTTCGGGGTTTAATGCTAGGCCCATTACTTTTTCTCATCTTCATCAGTGATCTGGCACAGTATCTTCAAAATCCGTGTTTCATGTTTGCTGATGATGTCAAACCTGCAAAGGTAGCCCATCGTTGGTTGATCAAGTGGGACCGACATTTGTATCTAAGCAAGTGTCAGCTCTTAGCAACGAGAGTTGATGTATACTGGAATAATGGTGCTCCCATGCAGCAGGTCCCGCAGATAAAGGATCTAGGGGTTCTTATGACCCAAAATTTTAAACCCTCAACACAGTGCAAATCAGGCTAGAGGGCAGCTATTCAGGCTGTGTGCCACCGTGATATGCACAAAGCCTGAGGTTTTCGTCCAACTGTATAAGTCGATTGATCGCCCGCACATGTAGTATTGCGTGCAGGCATGGGCACCATATTACAGGAGGGATGTGACATTTTTAGAAAGATTGCAACGCCTAGCCACCCGAGTGGTAACTGGGCAAAAGTAGAAAATCCATAGGCAGTGGTTATGATATCTTAATCTCTTTTGGCTGGAGAGTAGACGAGTAAGAGGAAATCTGATAGAGACTTTTGTAATTGTGCCAGGTCAATCGGGACTCAACCTAGGTGATTTGTTTACAATTTCTCATGCTCAAAACACGTCAGGTGACGGCTATAAGCTGCAACACAGGGTCAAGTGCGCCAATGTTAACGCCTTCAAGGTGTCCCTGGACGAATGTTAGTAGGCAACTTTCCCCGAAGTTATTAGATATAGAACATCAATAATAAATTCCACATTGTCCGAAATTTTGTGAAATTGAGTAAACTCGGGCTTTATGTTGGAATTGTTCTCAAACTGACTGTCCTGTCACATGTGATCTGTGTATACGAACGCATGTGTACCTGAGGTCTCTAACCAATAAGACGAGGAGATATCCTTGCTTGTTTTCCTCCCTTTCAGCATATCCCCAAGGTGCCAAAAATCTAGGAAACGGGCTCAATTGAGATCACAAATACCAACTCAATTGTACTCAGTGATGGAAGCTAATCCCATCCTTCGACAACACACCGAACTGGACGCTCGATTGGTTTGAGCCAAATTCGTTCTGTGCAAACTGATTAGAAGTGAACAGAACATTGTTGTGAGGGTTTGAACTCGTGCAGCATAATGAATCCCAGGCTCCTAACTTCTCTCTTTTGGGCTGGATTTCATTCTGTATGTCAAATTCAGCTTCTGTTGTTAGAAGCTGACATGTGGCTAGGTTGAGAGGAAGATCCCACCTTTCGGACCACCGTATAACCGCCTGCAGGTCTAGATATACATTCGCTCCAGCCACCTTGAAGTCGTCCGCGAACATGAAGCACGGGTTGTTGATTCCCCGTGGCAGATCATTGAAGAACAATAGAAATAGTATTGGGCCTAGCACAGAACCCTGAAAGACACCGCTAGTCATGTTTGCCGGCACAGATAAATGCGTGTCAACATTGACCTGAAATGTGCGTTTAGTTACAAAGCTTTTTGCCACGAAGCAGTATATCCACTTTCTAACTTCCCCAATTCCCAAGAATTGCATTTTCTGGTCTAACCCCTGATGACTTCCAGAGTTCAAGGCTTTGACAAAGTTCAGGTAACAGACCTAGACATGCTGTCCCTCGTCTAAGCGTCGTGTGACTTCATCGAGGAATATAACCTCTGTGAACCGTTAAAGAGTTCAAAACTTGGGAAAGTAGGTACTAAACGGTAAAGAGCAGGAGATTAGATCGATGAAACTCAGGGAATCAGGGGCTAGGCAACTTTGCTCGACTAAGCACGCCGCGACGGAAAACCAAACCCTACCCATTGGACTGACGCCGGAAGTGACTCAACCACCGATTGAAATAATGTGCCGCCACACGTCGATAGACCTGCCCAAGGTGTAGCTGTCATCATTTGACGAGAACCCCAGCAACTATTGGATATTTCTTAGAGAATTTGATAATCTCGTTGAGTGTCAAGTCCCCGATCCAGGGTGGAAATTTGTGTATCTAAAGCATTACTGCCGCGGAAAAACCCGAGACGCTATCGAAGAATGTGTAATGCTGCCAAACGAAATTAGGTATAACCGAACAAGGGACATTCTGAAGGAACTGTTTGGCCAACCGTTCCACGTGGCACGGACGCTCATAGACGGGGTGCTAGCCGTGGCCCGTAAAGCGAGAAATGAGCCCGAATCGTTGATGAGACTGGTAATGAAGATGCAAAACCTTTTCATTGCCCTAACTCAAATGAACAACTAAGGTGATTTGAACGCACTACACACCCTAGAGGCAACAGCACGATGCCTGCCGGCTGAAATACAGCAGCAATAGGCGGAGGAGGCGGTGATTATTGGTCGTTTAGGGAGAGAACCGAACTTCAACGAGCTAACGCAATTCATCCGAAACCGTGCCAAGGTCACTAGCAGTCACTTCGGACAACTCGACAGCATGAGTAGACGGGAAGAGAGACATCACACCAAAGAACGAACCTGCGAGATCCCAAGAAGTTCTAGGAACGCTAACAATTATGCGACAGCAGGGGAACGTGGCTCGCCCAGATGTCCCCTGTGTCGTTTGAATCACGAGCTGTCCGCGTGCGGGAAATTTGTGCAACTAGAAGTTCCGGACCGTTGGGCAGCAGCCAAGAAGCACGGGGCTTACTTTATCTGTTTGAACGGCTCACATCGTGCGGCCGCTTGTGGCAACCGTAGCAGATGCAGGGAAACGGGGTGTCAAGGAAGCCAACATACTCTCTTGCATAGAATATAAGAGAAACCCAGCTACCGGCACCCCAAAAACCCAGCGTGTCTACCATCTCAATCGGCGGACAAGCAGGTCCGTCTTGGGATAACACCAGTGGGCGTATTAACACCGAGTGGGATGTTGAAGTTGATAGCGTTCATTGACAATGGATCCGATACCACGTTGATCACCAAACGCTTCGCCGTAAACGGCAACATCACAACCCGACCTTCTTTCCTGATGATCAGCACGGTGAACGGCACCAAGGCGACGTCCACCAATCATGCAAATTTGACGTTGGTTTCGATATTTAATGGTGAAGGAGTAGAGGTAACGGAAGCTTCCACCATCGCCGACTTGCCAATGCGAGCAGTGGAATCGATCGGGGAATTAGCAACGCGCTGGCCGTACCTGCGAGACTTGTGTTTCAAAGAAGGTGACTCTCCCGAAGTCGATGTACTAATAGAGTGTGAAGTGCCCGAAGCACACTGGGTCCTGGACCAGAGACCGGGCGACAGGAAAGAACCATATGCTGCTCGCACCATGGTCGGGTGAAAGTTGTTTGGATCGATTGCCGAACAATCACGGGATAGCCTTGAAAGGTTAGAGCACCTTAAAAGGTGATTGATCCGCGGCACAGATCTCCGTCGACAATACGCCGCAGCGATGCAACGGAACGTTCAACTGGGATATACAGAAGAGTTGGACGTCTCACAACCACGCAGGCAAAGACTGTAGTACTTGCCACACCACTTGGTAACACATCCCAGAAAGCCAGGGAAGATACGCGTGGTATTCGATTGTGCGGCGCGGTGCAGCGGTCTCTCCCTTAACGATTATCTGTTGCAAGGGCCGGACTGGACCACTTTCCTGATTGATGTACTCAACCGATTCCGGTTAGGAGCAGTGACAGTAGTAGCCGACATACAAGAGATGTTCCTCCAAATTAAGATACCATAGGACCAGCGCGACGCCCTGAGATTGCTATGGTAGCCCGATGGTGACTTGCAGAACCGGGCGGTAGACTAGAGCCTCACCGTTCATCCATTCGGAGCGGTTTCTTCGCCCTTCTGCGCAAACTTTACACTCCGGCGGACAGCTTTGCAATGAGGAAACAACTTCCCGGACTCGTTGTCAGCTAGCATTGCAAATAATTTCTACGTCGACGACTTACTGGACGCCTTCGACGACGTAAGAGAACCCTCGCGACACGTGATGCAGCTAAAGTATCTATTAGAAAAAGGGGGGTTCCTTTCAACTGAATGGTTGTTCAACTCACGTTTAGTTTAAGACAACGTTCCCGAAACTGGCAGAGCGAGTGAGGCCCTCAACTTGACCACACAGCCACTTCTTATCGAGCCGACCTTGAGGGTGCAATGGAGCGCGGAGTCAGACGAGTCCATCTTTCAACTAAAGCTACTCGAGAGGATTCCTACCCGACGAGGGTTGCTGCCGAGGAAGATCCTTCTTCAACAACTTTGTCGAAAAAGTACAGAGTGGGATTAACCCTCCTACTCGTCTGAAACGGGATACGGAGAAGTAGCCTATGTTTGTTGGAGAGCGCAAGACAGAATTACTTTTTGCCAAAGCCCGGTTGCCNGATACCTCGCCTCAAACTGACCGCGGCCGTGCTAGCGGTGCGTATAGGCAAGCAATTGCGACAGGGATTCTGTGTATTCAAAGATCGCATCACGTTTTGGACTGACTCCGCCATTGTATTACACTAGGTGAACAATGTCAGCACTAAGTTCAGCACCTTTGTTTCCAACCGACTGACGGTAGTGCACGAAGAGACCAAGGTACATCAATATCGATACGTGAAATCTGTGAATAAGCCAGCCAACCAGTGCCTTCGAGGCTTGAAATCATTGGACAAGCTACGCGATTGGCTGGGCAGCCCGACCTTTCTGACTACCGCGTCAAAGGACCAGGGTACAGTGCTTTTACCCCCAAGCCCGTAGAGTCGATAGAAGCCAAAAGGGTAATCATAACGGTGGAACGCGACGTTACCTCCCCACTGATAAGGAAACTGGAAAACTTCTCGTCCTGGAGCAGATTGATTTGTTCTGTCGCTTGGCGGATAAGATTTAAACATACGATGATGACCATAACCGGACTTCGGCTTGACAAATCGCTGCGTGTGGCACCGTTATCGACGGACGACGTATTGAGAGCGGAGCACAACGTCGTGACATTAGTGCAACTACAGCATTTCCCCCTCGAAAGAATGACCCTACAAGCGAACGCAGGGAAGAACTAAAACCGGACCGTAATCCAACGAAGGGCGCTGCGTAAGCTGAACCTTATACTGGTTGAAGGGTTGCTACGCGTGGGAGAGAGACTGGAAATGTCTTCTTTGGCACTCGACGCTAGACATCCGATCATTCTGCCAGCCGGTAGCCCTGTCACCACCTCGCTTATACGCCACCTTCACGTAGAAAACGGCCACGTGGGAACTAACCACCTACTGAACGCCATTCGGGAGAGATTTTGGATAACACACAGTAGAACCGCAATAAAGGGGATCATCGGTAGAGGTATGTTCTGTCGACGCCAAAACGCGGTAACCAGAATACAGCTGATGGCACCCCCCACTCGAATTCAGGGTTCGAAAGCGGGGTGGGGGAAGGTGACCTTTCGCGGACACGGGAGTGGATTATTTCGGCTTCTTGCTGGTGAATTGCGGGAGATCGGTGACAAAGTGGTATGGGTATCTGTTTACCTGCATACAGCCTCTCGCGGTGCATTTAGAAATGGTACACGGTATGTCTACTGAATCCTTCCTGATGGCGCTCCAAAGGCTGATCAGCAGGCGCGGATCCCTGAACGACATCTACTCCGACAACGGTTCAAACTTCGTGGGTGCGTCGAACGAGCTGCAAAGGTTGCTGTTCCAGAGCGACTGACATCCCAAACTATCCAGTTGCACTTCAACCCGTTATACGCTAACCATAGAGGAGGGGTTTGGGAACGGATGATAAGGTCGATGACAAGGATCCTGTTGGCTGTATGCAATCAACAGTCTATCGACGATGAGACCACTTAACACCTCCCTAACCGAGGTGGAGATCATATTGAACAATAGGCCCTTGTTACCAGTCGCGAGTGAAGCCCCGATTTTGGCGCTTACACCGAACGACTTGATACTATTGAGACCCAATCGCGGACTGGCGGTACCACGAACTACCACAAAATATGACTCAAGCAGCTAGAGACAGACCACTTACCTAGCGGGAGTTTTCTGGAAACGGTGGGTCCGAGAATACTTACCTACCCTACAGACACGTCAGAAATGGATACTCAGAGAAAGAAACTTTCGGGCTCGTGACATAGTACTACTTGCAGACGAACGACGTCGGCGGGCTGAATGGCTCCTGACGATCATCGAAGAATGCCTCCCGGACAACGACGGACTCGTGCGCAAGGTGAAAGTGAAAACGGCAGCCGGCGAAACCCTGCGAGATATCCGCCAAATCTGCTACCTGGACAGCGAAGAAGCAGAATCGACCGGGAAGCCAAGCAGTTTAGGAATCCTCCTGGTTGGTGAGGAAGGCACTGTGAGTCATAGAGAACGGCTCGTGGCTAACCTCCCGAGCTGACAGAGACGGACAGGACGACGAGAGGCGCAATAAAATGATACAGGACTGTAGGAACTAGGTAGTAAGGGTGACAGTTGGTACTCCCTTGAGTTTCCCTTTGACCATGTGCCACGAGGAAGGATTTTGCCGAGCGGTGTGTTGATCGATCCGTAAAAATTCTTCCTGTAAAGCCCAGTGTGATGGGTGCCAAAGTCAATTATGCCGTCAATGAATTCTCCGTCCCACTCGCCGGTGCTTATCTCTCAGACGAAGACCAGTGTTTACCTCGCCCACATACACATGCACACACGTGGGCGCTCGCTCGCTCGCACACGCACAAAGACATCACGACTCATTCCTATTGGTTGACCTGTTAGTCATTGTCCTATTGTAGATTGTCATGTGACGCATGATTCATTCAGAAAAGCTACGTGTTCTGGACTGTATGTGTTCTGTGCCTTGTCCACCGGGCTAACTACGGGTTAGTTTAGTTTAGTGACTGTTACACCCAGTCAGTCTATCTCGGTTCCATAGTTCTTGAATTTCACGTTCATTTCACTCAACACCATCCGCCTCACACATACTTAGTCATTTGACATTCCACTCCCTGTGTATATTTACACATGGATCTTATCATTTTACTTTGTTAGTTTATCTGCCCCATTCGCACCCTACTTGTTTTAATCGCTACCTGCGAGTTCACATTTGGCTCGTTCGTGTGCAGCATGACGACGAGCGTGCTGTTCTTATCCAGACGTATTTCCTTCCGTTCAGATTTGTTGAACTACGCTCTCGGTGACACTTGGTTCCTGTTTTCTAGTTGTTTCGAGATCACTTTGAGGTTTGTGCATATTTATTTGCTTATTTGATCGTCTAATAATGTAGTACCGTAGAAACTTGCTGGATCGTTCTTTTGTTGACGTTTTGGGATCCGATTTTGACTACGTGTTACTAGTTGATCTAGTCGGAAGGCACAGAATGCATAAAAAGCATGACCATATGTTCAAAGCGATCATATGTACATTAGCAATGTATGTATATAAAGATCTACTTAGAAGGTAGACGCAATGAAATTGGCGGGGGAGTGGAACGAAAACGCAGTGTGAAAAGATTAAAAAGCTGACGAATATGTAAAAGATGGAGGATGCACTGTATAAGCATGTCAATGGAAATTGAAGTAACAGCGAACCCTTTATCGAGAGGATTGGACGTGTGGCAGTAATGAGGAAGAATACGGAGAGTCAGTCTGTGAGACAAATGACGATTTAGGATGGAGGCGCGCGGATAGGAACGGATAGGAAGCAGTACAGCGAGTTAACACATTTGTAAAAGTACATTTTTCTCTCTTTGCTGCAATACAGCTGGCTTCTGAGGATACATTCATTGGGTTTGGGGCTTCAGTCGATCATGATGATTTAGATTATTTAGATTAATTAGGCGTTCGTTTTTAAATATACAAAACACGTTCATTGATCATCCAAGCCTTTGCCAATCGCGTGCTTGTATTTCTGGCGTTGTTCAGTTTCGGTCTGAGCCGCACGGTTTCTGATTGGTTAGTACAATCGGCCTATGGTTTGTGGTCCAGTAGCTGTGACACGTATGAGTTTTTCTGACGTCACGCGGTAAATTCGATTGATCATAATTGCCCAAAAACTTTAACATGTCGCTCCGTGGTATACGTCATCTCGTAGGCTAGAATCATTACAGATATTCCTACATCTGTACAAGGCCGTAGTTACGCCCAACCTGCAGTACTGTGTCCAGGTATGATCACCCTTCTTTAAAAAGGATGCTATCTGTTTAGAGCGCGTTCAATGGCTGGCACTGAGAATGTTTGGGTGTCAGTAGAGCAAAGATCATAAAGCAAAGGCTACAGGACCTAGGATCATTATCTTTGAAGAAAAAAGAAGGCTCAGGGAGGTATGACAGAAATCCTTAAGGTTTGTCTGCTGTAAGAGCAGAAACCCTGTTCTAGGA